GGACAAATTTGGCCTTTACTGCCACTATTTGCTGAAGTGAATTTTAATAGGTATTGAACACAATGTACATAGGCAGACTTTTTTGGTATGTTGGTTAATTTTGTCTAACAGTTTTTTTCTCTTCTTTTCAATTCTTTGTTACAAGAGATTGATTTCTGGGAGGGAGAGTGGGGCAGTAATTGGGAAAACTGGAAATATAGGTGATGTAAAAGCAAAACAAATCAATACATTTTAAAATATACAGTATATTGTATTTTTTGGATTTGGGCTTTTTAATGTGGTTTTTCTTCATTTCCACTACTTAAATTGCCTGTATTGTCTTTAGTAGAATAGCTGGTTTCACTTATTCCTGTTATCTTCAAATTACCTGTGTATTTATCTATTTTTAAAAACCATATTATTTTGCCTTAAAAATATTAGAGATAAAAATGGAAGCCAATTCAATTTGAATTTTGATTATAGAAAATTTCAAATGATTACCTGTATCTATTCTTAATTTATTTCAATTTTTTTAAAAAGTTTCAGCTTTGGGAGCAAGAAGTTTATTAAATTATATTTACCAAAACAAATGGCACTGAGAAATGTAATATATTATGGTACTTTTAACTGCCACTCAAATATGTTCAACTTCAACTTTAAACACTTCACATTCTAATCCAATAAGAGGCTTAATGTGAGCCCATGGTAATTGGCAGAGAAAATGGCAGATCATGACCAGGTCAAGATTCAACTAGGTACCCTATTAATGCACTCACTGTCAGTTGAAATAAATACTTTTTTTAGTCTTGCTTTTGTTGACTTTGATTTTAAGTTTATTTCACTGAAAAAAAATGGATATATTTATGCAGGAGTTGTACTAGAAAATATTCAATACTTTTGGCCTTTGCATCTCCCTATCCCACCTCAGAAGATTTCATACATCTTTGAAGTACATTCCACAGTTTGGAAAACCCTAGAGAATGACTGCAGCTAGGTGTCATAGTAGATAGAGCCCAGGCCTGGAGTCAGGAAGACCTGAGTTCAAATCTGACCTCTGACACTTTCCAGCTGTGTGACCCTGGGCAAGTCACTGTTTACCTCAGTTTCCTCATCTGTAAAATGAGAAGGAAATGGCAAACCATTCTAGTACCTTTTCCAAGAAAACCTCAAAATGGGGTCACTGAGAATCTGGCACAATTCAACAGCAAAAGTATCCCTAACTCTTGACATGCTATGGTGAATGTACCTAACTGCTTCTTTTTTCCCAGTGTAACCTCTGTGTGTGTGTGTGTGTATGTGTGTGTGTGTGTGTGTGTGTGTGTGTGTGTGTGTGTATGTGTGTATGAGATCATCACATGGAAGAATGTTATAGTCTTCAATTGAAATAGCTTAACACCTCAAAATATTTAAATCTTTCTCTGGACGGAGTAGAAATTTTAGGAAGGTATAAAAAAGACATGCATTGTTAGCATTCTCTTAGGTTTAAAGGAAAGAATTGAGCTCTTTTATTTCTTTCAAAGTTGTATTTCTGTTACTATGCCTCTTTTCAATGTCATCTGTTTTCATTTTTAATCAAATGCTTGCTTCTGATCTTTGACTAGCAAGCATGGGTAGAGATCCATAGAACATTTGTTTGTAAATGATGAACTTGCTAATAGCTTACAGGAGAGCTTACTTTTATATCCTATTACAAAACACTTGTATAGCTCTAAATCTATGATTCTATGACATATTCTCATTTGATCCTCATAGTAGCCCTATGAAGTAGATTGTGTAAATATTATTGCCCCTCCCCTCATTTTTTAAGAGAAGAAACTGAGGCTAAGAAAGTTAAAGCAGCTTGCTTAAAGTCATACATCAAGCTAGGTTTTTTGACTCCTACTTCAAAGGTTCATTTTTCTTTCCAGTTAAATAAAAGCTGAAATAAAGAAATAGAGACAACAAGATTGTGTCCTTTTAGAACCCACCTTCTTGGTTGTCGCTCCTTCTGCCTTTGGTTTAAGCCAGTCTTTATTCAGGCTCCTAGTCCTAGGACCCTTCGACCCTTCAAATTGCTTTTCTCTCTCAGTTTATATTCCAGCCTAGTTCAGAGTGGCACCCCAGGTTTGCTTCTACTTAGATCACCCTCCCCAAGTGATGACTTAACTCTGCAGTTTTCATGAAGTGTCCATTCTTTTTGCCTTTCCTTTCTTCTATTTTATAGAATCACTACATTTCGTAGCTGCAAGAGATCTTAGAGACCATCTAGTTCAATTCCCTCATATCTGTTTTTAATTTTTATTAGTCATTTGTTTTTACGTAACCATTTCTTCAGAATAATTTGCTCCCCAACCAGCAACCCAGGGAGCCAACCCTTGTGACTGCAAGCTCACTCCCCCAACTAGGTAGGTCCCTAGACAAATGGATATTACTACCCCTAGAGTTCTAGGGAACCCTATCCTCCTTACCTGTAGTAGTATGCTTTCACTAACAATCAGCCAGAGGGGCAGCTAGGTGGTGCAGCAGATAGAGCACCAGCCCAGGAGTCCATGGGACCTGAGCTCAAATCTTGCCTCAGTCATTTACTAGGGCAAGTCACTTGATTATGATTGCCTCCAAAATACCTAAAATAATCAGTCACTATACTCAGTCCTTTAATGAAGATATTTATTCAAGTGGCTTTGCAAGAACAATGGTTATAAAGCAATTTCCCCCCAAAATCTGGGGGCATTGTCTCCCACAAATACATACAGAGTCTGTGTGGGGAAAAGTGGGCACCAATTTAAAGGAGAAAGGTAGTGAGCAATATATGTAGGAAACATTATGTGGCCAAGACAACTTAAAATTTTGGGCTTGAAAATCCCTGATTTCCTTTCTTTTTTTTCAGAAGGTTACCGTGTTCATTGTGGGGCATGGTATCAGTGATCCAGTGATTAGGGAGTAGTTGGATTGGTACTTTGAAGGACATGAAATCCTTACTGGACAAGTGGGTTTGCTCTTTATAATGTGTGGTGCCTTGGCTAGACAAGTCAATGCACTGCTAGGATGTGCCGCTGAGCTTGCTCCTCTCTGCACTTGGATGCTGCTAGCCACTATACAGCTGCTGCCAACCTGGGCTGAGACATTGGATTCTCAGGGTTTAGCTGGATGGATTGATTTGCTGGACCCCTGTGTTTGATCATCAGTAAGCAACCTCAGTCTTCCACTGCCTTAAGTCACAAGCTTGACTGTATAGTACTGTCTTCAGCTGGAGTGTTACAGTACTCTTTTTAGTTAGTTATTGTTTGTTCTTCATTCTAGAAGAGGACCAATGACATCAGCAGGTTGACATTTTGACTTGCAAGCAAATTGGATTTAAATGAGGCAGGGCTGTGCTGAGTCATCAGCCTCACTGCCTCCTCCAGAGTCATTGGAGTCCAGTGGCAAGACGTAGGTCAAGATGACTGGGAATGGCCCTGGGTGCAGTGGAAGACCTTGGGATTTTTAGACTAAGGTCTTTCCCAGGTCTCAATCTGAGGCAACAGCCATTCATCTAGAGTACTAATTTGCTCAATAACCCTTAGGCTAGGATTAGTAGAAGCCTCTTCTCTTTGAATCCCTCCGAGTCTTCATGTGCAATTGAGTTATTCAAGCCTCAGACTCCAATTTGGAGAGTGCTTTACTAACATTTGAAAAGGCCTCAACTTCACATTTCCATTACCCTTAAGGCTTTCAGTTTTGTGAATGTAAAAGGAGGTGGAACAATCTTAAAATAAGAATAAAACATAAAGAGAAAAAAAAATACTTCAGCAAAACTTACTCAACACTATTGAGTTTGACAGTATACACAATGTTTTAAATCTCCCCACCTTCCATCTCTGAAAAGGAGAGAGGTTTTCCCCCCTCTTCTCTCCAGTCAAACGAGTTCATTACAATTACATAATATTTAGTTTCTTTTTTATTTTTTTTTCCATTTACATTCCAACCCCCTCTTTTCAAAGAAGGGGACCAGAGCTCCAGAGGGGTAATGGTTCAATGTCACACAGTTAGTAATAAGGGCATATAAAGGCCTAGAACCTGCCCCCTCATTTCTAAGCTAAGACTTCCTCATGCATTCTTAACTTTAGTTCTTCAATTTTCCTCTCCCTGACTCTTCCATGGTGGAACAAGCAATGACTCTGGTGTCAAAGGATGTGGGATGAAATCTTGTTCCTGCCACTTACCTACCATTGCCACCTTGTGCAAATCTCTTAACCTGCCTGCCTGTTTCAGGCTTTAGATTTATGATCTGCTTTTTGTATTATACTAAATCTTGGAATCTGATATTTAGTGCTAGACCTTAGAAGTGATTTAGTCCAACACTTTCATTTTACAGATGAGGAAACGGAGTCTGAAGAAGTTAAGTGGCTTTCACAGGATCACACAGGTGGCAAAGATGTGATTTTAGTCCAGATCCTCTGATTCCAAATCCAGCATTTTCCTCCCGTTACACCAGATACTGTGCCTAGGGTAGGCGCAGTCCCATATCGTGTAGTGGGTGTGCCTATCGCTTCCATCTAAGTGTTCAATCCACTTCGTGTACGTGGGGATTTTGCATTAATGAGACCTTAGAGACTAGTATGAGACCCTTAAAAAAAATTAACTGGAGGGGAGAGTACCTCCAACGGGGGCCAACTAATTCCCCCAAATTGGACAATGTCTCACTGTCATGGTTTAGCCAACACACCCCAGATTCATCCCCCTCCCCTCCACCGTCTAATCTGTGTGCCCTGCCCGCTATCTGGGTGTGCTCAGTCCCCCTTCTCCCCAGGTTCCTCCTCAGACTGATGATCCTCCGCAGGGCCTCAAAGAGCAGCCCCTGCTGTCCCAAGCAGTTTTGGGACACACCTCTCGGGAGAGCTGCGTATTTCCGCGTGGTAGGGAAGCCCCGGCTACGTCCGCTGTGCTCTCTAGCCTGGGTTCCAGGTCCCTGGGAAGTTCTTTAAGCAGCCCAAGCCCCGAAGCAGCTCTGGCTCCTACTATTCGGCCCCGCCCCCTCCCGAGCGAAGCCGGGAGCTCGAAGCTGTGAGCTCAGAGGCAGCCCAGGGGCGTCACCGAGTGCGGCCACCCAGCTCCAGCTCCAGCTCCAGCTCCACGCCGGAGTCCTGTTCTCTTCTCCACCTCCTCTTCTTCCCTCCCTTCCCTTCCCGGTCTTAGAACACAGACCCAACGCCCAGCTAGGCACCGAGCCGGAGACGGACAGCATCTGCAGGCGGGACCGTGAGGCAGAGGGAACCTGTGGAGCCGTAGACCCAGGCGTTCTCAGAGCCCCTAACTGCTGGAGGCTCCAAAGCAAGCCCCTCGCCTAGGGCTTCGGCTGCCGTGCCCTGCGGCTCACTGCTCGGGGCTGGGGAGAGATGCAGGCTGCACTGTGAGCCCCAGGCAGCAGGGCCATGTCCGGCTCTCGTTGCCAGACATTGTACCCCTTCACTGGGGAGCGGCACCGCCAGGGGCTGCGCTTCGACGCCGGAGAGGTGCTCACGGTGCTGCAAGTCCCGGACGGGGGCTGGTGGGAAGGGCAGAAAGAGGACGGACTCCGTGGCTGGTTCCCCGCAAGCTATGTGCAGTTGCTAGAGGTAAGGTTGCGGGGCTGGGTGGGGGTGGGATGAAAGGGCCCTATCTAGGGGGACTGGGAACCAATCTCCCTATCTCCACCCAAATCCAAAGCCAGCTTCGAGGATGGCAGAGCACCAACCACGCCACCACCGTTGAGTGCCAGTGTAAGGATGTGCCAGTAGCCAGGAGAGGCACTGCTGGGGGTGTGTTCGGGCGCAATGCCTTCCTTGGTCAGTTCCTGCCTGACCAACTTAGAGCTTTGCATTAGGGGACCGAAGTAGGGGGTGGGAAACTGGAGCTAAGTGGGGTGAGGGAACGGAATGCAGCCCGCTCCTCTCCAAACCCCCTGCAGCGCTTTTCTGTGTCTTGGGAATGGTGCGCAGCCTTCGAGCTTCGTCCTCACTCCCACTTCGCTTCTTTTCTACACACACAGTCCCCTTCTTCCTCTTTTCTCCTACTGTTTTGTTCTATCCCTCTTCCTTCCTGTTTTTTTGGGCTAACCTTCCCACTGAATGAACTGAAAACTTAAAATTCTGAGTTCGGGACCCGGCCAGCTTCCTTGAGTCCGGTTTGGGTTTTCTCCAGTCAGAACCCTTCCAAGGAACAGACTTTTGGAGATTTGGGGTAGGATTTTCTGGGATATGTGGGACAGACCAACCACATAGTGAAGAGGAGTGCACAGCCTGCCAGGGAACAAGGAAGGGACCTCAAAATTCCCAGTGCCCCTGAGTGGGTATTATAGGGCCAGGTTGTGAGTTACAGGCTTGTTTGGTGCTGGGGCGTCACAAGCATCAGCAGCAATAGCTTCGCATCTGGAGCTCATCCAGCAGGCATTATCTAATCACAACCAGCCATGTCCCGAACCCAGACCCTGCCTTTCAACCCATCCTCTCCTCCCTCCCAAAGAAAGAACCAGCCTAGACTCGAGTGGGGAAGTGACTTGCTCTTGGGGTGCTAAGTGGACACCAAGTTACTTTTGACATTAATGACCACTGTTAACTCCAACTAAGTAGAGTTCCCCTGTTTCTGTTTCAGTGATACTTTGGGATCCAAGTCTTCTATTTCATCCACATTACTCACTGGTTTATGGCCATGGACATAGGGAGGGAATGGGATAAAATTATTTTGAAAGTTAGATCATAATCTTGTCACCCCCTTAAGAAGGTAGGGTTTCGAGTAGGAAGGGACCTTAGAAAATGCCCAATTCAGCATTCAACTAACAGAGCAGGAAACTGAGGCCCAGAGAGATAAATCGACATGCAGAAGGCCACATAAATGGTAACTAGCAGAACTAGGAATCAAATCTAGGTTTTCTGAGTCCAAATTCTGTGCTCTTGTCTTGCAACACCGTTTGATGACTTTCATCAGATCATTCAGATCTGAAAAACACATCCCAGGAGTGCTGTGAACGTTAAATTCTTTAAGATTTGCAAAAGGGGATACACAATGAAAGGAGATAATATATGTAAGATGTTTTGCAAAACTTAAAGCACTATACAAAAGTCAGCTACCATCATCATTAACTACTGTCCAATAGTTGACTAATATCAGGTATCATTATCCCCATTACCAATTAATGAATAAATGAGATGCAAACATCAAAGGATCAGGATTTGAGCCATATCTTAGCAAAGACACTTGTGTGATACTGCTTATGTGACTATGGACAGGTTGGTTAATCTTTCTGAGCTTTAATTACCTTTTTTGTAAAATGAGGATATTGTCTAAATTGACCTCTGAGGCCTCTTTTAGTCTAGGATCCTAATATTACAGAATTCCCACTAAAACCTGCCAAATGTTATACAAAAACATTGAGAAAAATAGAATATGTCTACTGATTTAGTACAGTTTCACATTGACACTGAGAATTTACTTTGAACAAATAACTAAGAAAATTTTGGTAGTTTGGGTATGTGGGGGTAGGGGGTTGCATAAACTGCTAGTGGGGTCCCTTTTTATAAACATGTTTATACTACATTTTGAAGCCAGTTGTTTGTATTTTGACATGTATATGACATGTATATGTTATTGTATCTCCCACAGTATACTTATATTGATGTTTGATATTTGGTGAATGAATGAATTATTTCCTTATGGTACACATTTAGTTAGACAAGTTCAAATGATGTCAAATGCCCTATAGTATTATTTCTTTTATTGTAATATGGAAAGCATTAAGTTATAAAGAAATTAACAGAATTTGAGGTGTCCTCATCCTCATAGTTTCCCTCCCTGAGATTTAGACTGTGGCACAAGGTGATGATGTATCTGTCTTATCTTATGAAAACCAGTGCCAAATCCCGTTTCTGAAAACTTTGGTAGGAGCCCATGGAGCTTATACCTTTCAGGGAATTATTCATGTTGAAATTTGGTTGTCAGAAGACTGACCTGATCAAGGTAGCTTCTGACAAGACTTTCTTTAATTCAATCTGGCCTGAACTTTGCTTTGGGAAGATGTGAAACTAATGAATCTGCTCACTGTCACTATGGTGTAGCATTATTCTAGACTCCCAGAGTTTTATTTCTGAAGAATTTTGCTAATTTGAGAATGACAGCTCACTGGTAGCAGCAGCCTGCACTGGGGAAGTTGCTGGCTTGTTAGGAATTGGTTTTTAGTACCTTATTTGTTTACATACAGGTGGTCCAATTTGGGGAAACTAACTGACCCAAAACAAATATTCCATCTTCACAGTGCTATATTCCCCCAACTTTTTTTCATACAAAACCAATCCATATTGGTGTTATAAATTAAGACTACCTATGCAGTTTTCTTGAGGCAAATCTGAGCTAAATCATTACAAAGGATTACTTAATCCCCAGAACCTTCTCTGAGCTCTTTTAGTATTTGCTTTTTTCCTTTTCTGTACATTTAACCACACTGTGTGTATGTATATCTTACCTTCTTTACTAGATTATAAGCTCCTAATGTGCAGGTACCAAGCCTTATTAATGTTTATAACTCCTATGTCTCTCTTAATATTTGCATCTACTACGGTGCCTTGCAGGCAGTGTAGAAGTTTAATTAAACTCCACATTTAGTTGGACACTAGGTCAAATTATGTTTCTTGTGTATAGTGTGATATATTGTGTGTCTCTTTTATAGAAAACATCGCATGGATTCCACATCTGTCCAAATCTATGCTCAAAAAAGGTGCTGTTTGTAATGATTAAAACTGTGTAGATGATTGTCATTGAACACTCCAATATCGATACAATTTTTTTTCCATCTTATGTCCTCAAACAACTCACTTTGGTTTAGGTTTTTGATGCCTGTTGAAAACCCTACTTTTCAGGAGCAAGGTCAGCGTGCCATCTCATCTCTTTGATTCCTGCAGGCCAAACTGGCCCATCTTTTGTCAGTTTCCCAGCTGCCCACTCTAGTGGACATTAAAGCAGCAATCATCAATTTCATGCTTATTCTCTGTACTCTCTACAGAAAAGCCCTTAGCTTAGCAACAAGTGTGAAGTATCCCTGACTTTTGCAGAATAAATGGGAATGTTACTACATGCAATGAACACGCTTTTTTTTTCTTTTTTGCCTAGTTCTGTCAGAGAGCCTCAAGCTGTTTTTCTTTCAACCTATTTCACTGAATCCAACCTTATTAGGTGCCCCCTCTGTATTTAGCTAGGAGCTGTTTAGTATTTTTCTGCCATAATTAAAACTAACTTACATTTATTTATTACTTTTCACAGTGGTCTCAGATGTTATTTCCTCTCATCTGTACAATGACTTTGTGAGGTAGGGAAGAAAATGATCTTCATTTTGTAGGTGTTAATACTGGTAAGTCTTTGCTTGTCTAAGTGAAACTCAGAGGTGACCTAGTTAGTGTCAGATCACAAAGTCCATCCCAGATCATCTGACTCCAATTCTAGAACACTTCCACTGTATCAGGAAAACCCAGATGCTTCCTTCCTAATTCCTAGCAGTGTCAAAGCTAAAAATTTTTGCTTTCCCAGCAAAAAATTTCAGAAAACCCCTTCTCACAGCCTAGAAATAATTCTACCTGGCAAGTTGAACTACTGATTTTCGACAAGAGAGTATTGATAGTAAATTTAGCTGAATTTGGCATTTCGTGCGTTGAATGAAATATTTTGGGAATCCTTGGAAGCCTCTCATAAAAGATGGTCTATACTATTCATTTGACAGTCACTGACTAATAAAGACCAGTTTCACATTTTCCCTCCTTTATCTGCTTATTTGGCAGTTTCTGAATAGATGAATCTACATGCAGAGTCAGGAATTTGCTTTACATCAATAGTATTGAAGTTGTATTCAGGAATATATTCTTTCTAAAAACAGATTCTGCATATCTAACACTGTAAACATCCCCGATTGAATGAGCAGAACCTTTTGGTGGGTTTACTGCTGTGACATCAGAGGTTTGTTTCTTGGGGTTCCTTCAGTCTTAGAGTCCCTAAACTTTGCTGTGGTTCAGACTGTCAAGTCAAATCAATGGGTACCTATTATGGGGCAGCCACAGTTGCAATGAGCCATTTTGGCACCAGGGGCAAGTAATATGAAACAAACAATAAGACATACACGATAAAAGATACACATTCAATTTTGGCTATGGTAAAGGATTGTAGCTGGGGTGTATTGAATCTTTCATGAGGAGTTGTTAAATTTTCAGCTTGAGCATTTACACCTCAGAAATCAGTAAATGCTAGCAATCAGGGCTTGATATATTGTTTTGTTGTCTAGATTTAAAGTGATGGAGATTAAAACTAAAAGTGTATTACACATACTATTTTTTTTTGGGGGGGAAACCTTAACCAGCAGACTCCTGACTGTATATCTGTTTTCTGACCACTCAACCAGCTACTTTTGAAGGAGCTTCATCACCAGAAAGTTGGTATCCAGGTGATGAAATCTTTCAATCATAACAGCTCTCAGAGATTATCTAGCAGAGTAGAAGTGCTGAGATATGTGTCAGTAAAGACAATATATCACAGGATGAAATTATCCATCCTTGATCTCTTAAAAGGAATATATACAAAGGTATGAAGGGCAATCGGAAGA